TAGGTACGTGTAAACCCGTTACACTCCCCCCATTAAAATTGTGAAGATCCCCAATTCACATTTGACGTTCGCGTCATACGAGGCTCGCGTGTCTGAGACACCTTCACGTTCATAATAACAACGTTAAATCTTCTCCGCTCTTTGAGCACTGTGTCTACGACATGCAAAACACTCAGTCTAGCTGGTTCCGAGGGCGCCTACGAGCAAATCTCTTCTTCTTCTTCTGCACCGGGTATATCTCCAGACAGTACATCCGCGGCTTCACGGGAAGCACATCCCAACCCCTCGGCAACTGAGCGCAACACACCGCGCCCGCCCCGTGCGACGGATTTTCTCGTCGAGGAGTTAGAGGAAGTCGACTGCGAGTCGGATACCCCTTTCCCAGCATGGGAAGACGAGGAGGATGAAGCGCTTCAGCGGCGTAACGTGAGCCCAGTTCAAACCTTGCGGACACCGTGCCCGTTTCCTGACCTCTTGGCTTCCGGGGAAATTGGTATCATTACCAATCGCCTCGACGAGACACAGGAGCAGCAATTGGAGGCTGCCCTCAGGGCGGCTCTCATGCCTTCGTATCCACTGTTTATACCCTCGTGTGGAGTACGGCTTCCGCTCAGCAAATCTCGCTACTGAAGTGAAAGATGCGATCACTCGATCGTTAGGCGTCTACGTACTCGGGACCCCCGGCCACTCCATAAGTTGAGCTTCATCAGCGGAAAGCTCCCCAAGCTCGCTTTCTGGTACACAAGATACCCCAATGAATATGTACCGCGCTCGACTTCGATCTCAAAAGGAGGCGCCCCTGTACCCGCAATGCGGACTATTCCTGTGGTGCTTGCTCCTGGAGAAAGCGCTGCTTATGATGAGGAACGTTTCCGAGCGATGGGTACAGCGGCGCTGGAAACTTTCCTTGCTGTCTACCCTACAGCGAAGACACAAGGAAGTGGACGTGCGCGTAGAGCGCCAACTTAGATCTGAGTCTGCCAAAATAAAGGCGCAATGCCCCCTTCCTGCGTGTTGTCGCCCTGCGACGTATCGATGAATCCATCGCGCTTCCGTGAGCTCTGTGGTTTCTCACACGGGTGAGTCTACGACCACAGCAGCTCAGGATCATAGCTTGGGCCCTCCGGCTTCCAGGGCTACTACCGAGAAGCGCGGGGCCGACGACGCTAAGCGTCATGACCCATCTGATCATAAGCGTCTACGACGTCTGAGCAGTACCATGAGATCTCAGAGCTTGGGTATCCCCGCCACGTCACAAGATATTGGATTCAATCCTGTCGACTACGTCGACCCACAAGGCGTTCCACGCTATAGTGGACGCCACTATTCTCATCGAAAGAGTCGGCGGCGGACGATGACGACTTCGTCCGGTGACTCGCGGTGTTCTTCGAGCCTATGAGGACAAGGTCCGTCGCGATTAGGACTCCGCTGAGCATCTTACCGAGGTCACCTACCACTGTGCGGAAGACCTTGAAAGACTGGAGCACTTTGTGCACCGACCGCCTCACATTGAGGATTATCGTGCTCTATGGGAGCGGCTCCCGGCCTTCAAACAGACAAACACGTCACTTCGTACGACGGTGGTGGAGCGACTTGCGCCGTTGGTAACAGAAAAAAATGTTGCACTCCGCGCTCAGAACCAGTTGCTGGTTCAACTTCTTGGTGGCCGAGCGCCTTTGGGCGCCAACGCTTCTGCGTTCACTTGCGCCAAATCTCGGTACGGGTTAAGCAAGCCCACATAAAATCCCGGGTGGGTGCGTATCGTTCTCGAAAGGTTTAGCTTATGCGCAAGGCCTCACTTGATCACGACCTAGAAAGATCCAATACACTGTGATGGGAACTTTGTCTTAAGACAGCAGAGACTGCATGTGTAGGAAGGTGTCTAGCGTTTAAAAAAAACAGGTCTCCGACCCCAAAGTTTTCCACATTTCATCTTCACCTTCCTTCTGCTTCTTCCATCTGCATATTCTATCTGCGTTACTTAGCTTTCCCCCATCGCATCGCGAAAATGTCGTAAGACACTCAGTATGGTAGACAGGAAGTCTCCGACTTCCTTACGGACAGTGAGGAGGATGACATCAGCTAGACGTTCGGCTATTCCTCCCCCACCAAGCCCTGAACCATGGGATAGCGGCATCAGCGGCACGCGAGGATTAACAGGTCCACTCACGTAGAATGGCGTGTAGCCGGTAGATAAATGCACTGCATTGTTCAGCGCAAACTCTACGAGTGGCAACATGGCGCTCCAGCGCCT